TCGTGCATGAATATTTGGTTTCAAAATATTGGTGCCTCGATTGGTACCTACTACAAAAAAAGAAAAACAAGTAATAACGTAAAATGCTGTTGAAATCGTGATTTGTATTCCACTCTTCGTTGTCAAAAAAAAAAAAAAAAAATCAATTTGTATTTTACTCCTATAGGTGACACAGGTTATCGGGCCACCCCTGTAACTTCTGCATTCGTCAACGGATTTTTCTGAAATTCGGTACAGGTATATAAGCAACTATTTCGGATTTGATCAGATTACAATCCAATATGGCGGACTTCCGGTTTTTCTGGAAATGCCAGCAATTTTGTTTTTTCAAATGAAACACCCTGTATATTTTTACATATTCAAGTTCAACAGGTCACAACAAGTGCAATCTTGATGTCAAATGTCATTTATCTCACAGCCTACCTAGTTGAAAAATATTATTCTAACTGCAAGGAAATTCATAAACTAGTTGTTGATTTTTGAATGTAGGTATACAATAATTTGTTACTGCATCGAAAAACAAAAATGATATGTAATACTGTTCCTTAATGTATGTTCTAGAGAGACGACTAGGTGGCCCATATGGGTTCCATTTGAAAAAAAATAATTTTCGATCAAAATAAAGTGATGTGTGGCTGAATTGATTCCTGGATAAGTGACACAAAAAATAATTTTTCAGAAAAAATTATGTTCTTCTGTTATGTGTGACTCATTGTGAATAGTCTTGACCACATATCATTTATCCACGAGGTAAAATGAAAAAACAATTTTAATTTAATTTTTCTCGAAAAAATGACATTTGAAATACAGATTGCACTTGTTTCGACCTGTTGAACTTGAATATGTAAAAATATACAGGGTGTTTCTTTGAAAAAACAACCCAGACAGCACTGGATATTCCTAGAATATTCTCTGAATATGTTAAAAGGGAAGAATATATTCCGAATATCCTTCGAATATTCTTAGAATATATACGTGCCTCTGGAACATTCAAGGAATATTCAAATGTGAATATTCTAGTAATATTCCAAAATGAATATACAGGGAATATTCCTTCTGGAATATTCTGAAGTGAATATTCCTAGAATATTCCAGTTGGATAGTGCAGGGAATATTCAGGTATGAATATTCCAGGAATATTCCCAATTGAATATTCTGTTCCTGTATATTCATGGAATATTTCAATAATATTCCCATGTGTTTCAATGAAATTGTAAAGTATGAAAATTAACCAATCACAATTTTATAGATGTGAGTATTAAACATTGATTTTGAAATCTGTGGTAGAAGTCCATCGTATTTCAAAGTGAAGTGGTTATGTTACCAGGGATCAAAAACAAAAAGTCGTCTCCACAATTTTGATAGTGATAAAAGTACTCAACCAGATCATCGTACATGTTAAGAGCAAATATTGAACTGGAAGTGTTTATGGTTCCCTTCTGAACAACGCAATTCAATAAATTGTTATGTACATTATTATTCAACTCGATTACTGGCCAAGTGGTTAAGGCGTTGATCTGACAGTCTGAAAGTCCCGAGTTCGAGCCCATCTTGGGTCAGCTTTTTTTAATTATGAATATGTATTACGGAATATTCCCGGAATATTCATTTATTTATATTCCTGTATTATTCCAGGAATATTCCGAATATTATCTGAATATTCCTGGAATATTATAGGTACATTCTGAATATATAGGGAATATTCCTTGTGTAATATTCCGGGAATATACAAAATTTTCCCCACCAGCACATTCAGAGAATATTCCATAGTTGATATGTATATCCCTGGCATGTTCATGAATATTCACAATATCCAAAAAGAATATTCTATGAATATTCATGGAATATCTGGTGCTGTCTGGGAAAGTTGCTGGCATTTCCAGAAATACCGGAAGTCCACCATATTGGATTGTAATGTGATCAGATCCGAAATAATTGCTTATATTACTGTACCGAATTTCAGAAAAATCCGATGACGAAAGCAGAAGTTACAGGGGTGGCCCGATACCCTGTGTCACCCGGTATATCAGATCATTTATTGAATATTTGACACAGGCTTTCAGGTTTCTTTGGTTGTTGATGTTACCCTGGTGAATTTGAAAAACAGGCGTAGGTATACCTATTCGAAAATTGGATTTGAACTTATTGAGTCCAACTTGAACACTATACCTATTTTCCTATTTTCGGGGTATATTTTCTCCGCTATAAGTGGACGTTTATATGAGACTACTGCTAGGTTTAATAGGTAAAAGTATTATTTTAACAGTTGTATAAAAATTTCGTTTCACTTTTATAATTAGACGTACCTAATCTTTGATAGTAGCGCCACTGATGACAAATACCTGTAGAGTGCAAAGGCGTTTATTTTATTATCATCGAAAAAATTAAACAAACTCATCGTCCGCGTTAGATACGTAATCATCGCTAAATTGTGTCTTCACATTCATCTTTTCTCTACCTGTTTCGATATCTGTTTATTTGTTCAACGGCGATAGAATGGCCCAATTTCCTTGTCGATTCACTGGGTTGATGATTCGCTTATATATATGTATATAAATATATATGAAATCAAGTTTGGATTTTCCACTTTCATTTTGTTATTCGAATTTTCATCACGTATTAGAATTATCAACACTAAAGCGTGATGCATGATTCCTTTGAGGTCTTGAGGTTATTGCATCGCAATTCGCAATAAATGCAAATGAAAGTTGTTCTGGAAAGGCAAGTTTTTAATATGAGTTCATGAACCGGGAGGTCAGCACATCAAAAGAGCACCCCCTTGAGAATTAGTCGGAATGCGCTGGAATAACTGAACATGTTGGTGATTTCATATGTATGTTTCAGTATGGCTACGTTTTTACAAATTTCTTCATCAGGGAGCCTATAAGAAAAATCCAATAGCTTGTCAGTGCCAGTTTGTTCGAAAAAAAGTTTGATGAGAAGAAATATAGATATATAGGTATTGAAAAAATATCGAGCTTTTACTTATCTTTGGTTTGGACGTTTCGGGAACGAATCTACTCCCGTTAGCAACATATAAATGCAAAATATTTTTCTTCGAAAATTCTGTTCTAGTTTGACACTTCTCAGTGCAATACTGATGTTGGCATATGAATGTGTGATGATGTTAGTATGCAAATGTGTTACAGGACGTTTTCTTTAATTGATCTTGAATCTACCATTTTCATGTTCAGTTTTTCAGTACAGTGAATACCATGTTCTATGTACAGGAAGCTATGTTATTGTCTCCGTTCAGAAGAATGCAAGCGGATTCCTTATTGATTCTCCTGTCCAAGACTCTGCCATTGAAAATGTTTCTCTTTAATAATAACCTCGATAATAACCGATAATAACCGAGATGAAAACTCGAATAACTGATTGTCTACTCAATTATTGACAAGCTTATATTATTATAACATAATGAAAGCAAATTCAGCTAATGTATATTTTAATTCATATAACAACACAAAAACCCAATAAAGGACTTACCTATGAAAATTCATCCCAGAGGTTGAATCTTATTGCTCGAATTTCCTCATTCACAAGCTGAACACCACGTCACAATGTCTTAAACGAATACTTATGTAAATATACGAAATATTTGATAATACTTAATATCAATATATCAATAATCAACTGCTGCTACTACATCGAAATCACCAAGCTCGTATATGTCACCAAAAGATGGCCGACTAGGGTTCCCTTCGTGATAACGTACACAGAATAAGATAGCATAGGGGCGTTGACGTAATATATCAATCAACGATAGGGGACAAGCGAGTTATCATCTGTGATTTTAAAGTCGACTTTGCTGATTATAACCCACTTGCGATTATTAGATATAGATCGAACCTTACTGCCACTAGCAAGTGCATCTGTATATTGCTATTAGACGATGTTTCTGTAGTAAGTATCTGACTTTGCTACCACTAGTGAGTACATCTAATAATGGGAGTATATATGTTATAATCGTAGGTAGGGAACTTTGCTACTCTTGATGGGTGATCATATAGATAGTTGCATGAACTACTTGCTGTAGTTATTCAGTTATTTTCCAGGATTGTTGTCATCAAGAAAGGTGAAATTTTGACTGAAATCCAATTTCACTTCCCATAATTTCCACCCTGATGTTTGGTATGAATAGCAATTTATTGATTCCTAAAGAAAATTTCGGTTATCACAGATGCGTACAGGTAAACAAAATGTTACCAGTAAAATCATTCAAATAATTTCATAGCCTGAACATTTTTGCTCACAATAAGTTTATAGCCCACATTCTATAAAGGAGCTCTGGACAATTTCAAAGTTTCATGGTACCAAAAAGAAGGAAATGTTGAATGTAAAATATTTGAATTTCAGTCGAAATACCTCGAAAAAACTCACCTTCATTCCATCAATCCTGGTAATAACTGAAGCACTCAGATCTACGAAAGCACTGAAAGGGACACAGTAGATTTTTTCATTCGTTTAAAAATGTTTCCATTTTATATTTGAATCCAGATTCAGATTTTAAATACTGAATTGAAATCAAGAGAAGTATTAGTACCTGTTATGTCGTCGAGATTGTCGTTTGGGTTTGCATGAAGAGCCCAACTGTGAATGATTGATCAAGCAAGATGTCTGATAAATGCGATGTCGAATAACGAAAAGTAGGCAATAAATAACCCCAAGTAGGTTCGTCAAATATTATTTTCCTGGCAGACTGATATTGGTATTATTGGTAGTGAGTGCAGTTCTATGCGATGAACCTCGCAGCCACAGGCATATAGCTCACTAGTAGTATTTCAGCTAGACAATTTATAAAAAAATCATGCTGTCCCAGAGTGGCTGTTTGATAGCGCCAGCAGTATTCCTTCCTGTGGCACGAAAATGTATAACGGTAATATGATTTCTTGTAATGGTAGCAAGAAATATCTCGGCAAAAAATCTAATAGCACAATTCTCCTCAGTGTAGTAAAAAAAAACCAGCACCTTGCATAACAGTCCATTTCCTTTCTCAGCTCCACCAAGACTCGCTAGACTCTCCTCCGCCACTGGCCGAGCCGACCACCGCGGCAGGCCGCGACTTACTACACGACGTGCGCCTGCGCGGCAGCCGTTCGTGGAGCCGCGAGGCTCGGGAGTTGTCGGCGCTGCTCGGCTCGCCGCTGCTCAGTGGGCTGGTGGAGGCGCACGACGAGATCGCCCGACGGCGGGGGAAGATCGGAGGCGACGGCGAGCCGTCGGCCGAGCGACGGCCGAAGCTGTTCCCGGACGCGATGACGGGCGAGGCGTACAGGATGGTGGGGGTGCGGAAGAGGCCGGGGGAGCCGCTAGGGTTGACGGTGAGTGAGACTCGTGCTTGGAAGGGGAAGAGAGAAAGTTGTAGGGTAGTAATGGAAATTGGTTATGGAAATAACAAGTCCGTGTGTTATACTTTAAAACTGTATATTGCTCTATTCAAATCAAGACCACTCGGAAAGCACGCCGATGCAAGAATCATCATATAGAAAACGTTTCTAGGAAAACTACATAAGTAAAACTTCAACTGGAATCTCGACTGGAATAAATTCGTTAACGGGGAGATGATTTTTCTTTGCTTCTTGGCATACTTACTCATATTACTCATCAAAACTGAATAAAATTCGAGATCAGAATCCAGGTTCGTCTTGAGGAAAAACAGAAACAATCTTTTATTTCAAAAACAATACTCTGTATGCCAAAATTTTGTAGATCAGTTTTGGTATTTGAAAAGAGCGGAAAAAAATGGATAGAGTGACCCACTTTTTACGAGCGCGCATCCGATTTAACAGATGTTTTATTATTAATTTTGGAAATATTCATCTCCATTTTGAGGCATTTTAATTGGAATCGAAATCCTCGTCGAAATCCAATTTTGGTTCAAATTTGGATCAAATCAGGTAAACTATCTATAGATTTGTTTATTTGACAGAATAACTTGTCAATGATTTAAGAAATTTTCGAGGACTCATTTTATTTTACAATATTAATTCGAAAGCTGCGGTAAAGAAAGCTGTGCAAAAAATTTTAAAATTCTGACAGTTTATAATCACGTGTGAATAATTATGAATACTTTGAAATGTAACAATACAAGCACCAACAATCATCTCGAGGTTACCAATAATATCACACTAGTGAATATGAACTGTCAGAATATTAGAATTTTTTATATATCCTACTTCACCACAGCTTGTGAATTGATAGTGGAGAATACAATGAGCCCTCAAAAATTTCTAAAATCGTAGACAAATTTTTCTGTCAAACGAGCAAATCTATCTATAGTTTACCTTATTTGACTCTAATGATGTTGAACTTTACAGACTGTTATTTTTTGCATTAAAATTGGAATTTTAATTACAAGTTCAATGAAAATGCCTCAAAATGGAGCGGAATATTTCCAAAAATAATAATAAAGCATCTGTCAAATCGGATGCGCGCTCGTAACGAGTGGACCACTCTTCATTTTTTCCTGCTCTTTTCAAATATCAAAACAGATCTACAAACTTTTGCCATACAGAGTGTTGTTTTCGAAATAAAAGAATTTTTTTGTTTTTCCTTAAGACAGACCTGGATTCTGATCTCGACTTTCATCCAGTTTTGATAAGTAATACGAGTGGTATATTTTTACCAAGTATGAAAAGATTATACAAAGTGGTTCAAAAATTATGACCAGATGAATATTTTCCCACAATCAAGATAACGTCCTGTATCTCAGGTATAAATGGCGGTAGAGACATCAATGAGGGGTGATTTGGAACCATCAAAGTGTTCTCTGCAGTTATCGTTTGTACATTTAAATCTGAAACACCCTGTATAATCATTATATTAATTTGATAATTACATTTTGAGGTGTTCAATATGTTTTTTCGAAATTCAGGTGCAAGTAGATGAGAGTGGCAACCTGTTGATAGCGAGGATCCTAGAGGGCGGTATGATCGAAAACCAAGGCCTACTACATGTAGGTGACATTCTTCTGGAAGTCAACGGAACTCCAGTGTCTACTCCTGAGGATCTTCAAACAGAAATCGCCAAAACTAAGGATCATGTAACACTAAAAGTCCATAATAAACAAAGTAATGAGGTCACACATTCAAATATTGTCGAGGCCAACGGTACAAATGGAATAACAAAAAAATTAACGGTAAGTGTCTACATTGTCAAAGTTTCTACCTACTGTAAATTATATTTAGACTAATTAGTGTTGGAAATATTCACGGCCAATATCTCCCAGGATAGCTTTTGGGTCTCAAGAAATAAGAACTATACCGAGAAACTTTCTACTTTGCTTTAATTGTAAGAAAACGAATATTCAAATTACAAAAACGTATCTCGTGTTCAAAAACAAAACCTTGTTATCCCTCGTCCTGGAAACCTCCCAGAAAAACATAATCTCTACAGTCAGAATAATACAAGGTGACTCGGGAAATCTTCTACATTCGGCCATCCTGTATTATGTTTGACCTCAAACATAGTTGTCAAATCTTGCTGGCTTTTTCACTTTTCTCTTCGGCATTTCTCTCTTCTGATGGACTTCTTCCTTTACCTCTTCCGCTTCTTCTTCATCATCATCACTAGGAACCCATTCTTCATCACTCAAACTTTTATTGTCTGAAGCATCATAACTCTTCCCAGAATACACAGTTTCAGTAATACCCGATTTTTCGTCAATTTCTTTTCCCGAAAATTCCGTTTCCTCTGTTTCTTCTTCATCCGTTCCATCTTCTTCATCGTGATTTTTGTAAATTTTCATTTGTGAGATATGTGCAGTTCTCACCTTACAATGTCCTCCATCTTCTTTATTTAATTTTTCAAGTTTATAGGTATGTCCTGGTAATTTTTCAATAACTGTGAATGGCCCACAATATTTCAATTGAGTTTTTGTTGATTCTCCTGTAGCCTTCGGACTCGATTTTATTGCTACAATATCTCCAATTTCATAATCAACACCTTCATACCTTTTCTTATCATAGTAGATTTTTGACTTTTTCTGCATCACCACAACTCTTTCTTTGGCTTCGTTTCTTACTTCGTCATGTTTCTGGACATCTCTTTCCCTTTCCGCTAATTCAACCATAGCTGCATCCTCGAAAGATGGCTGATATCCATACAAACATTCAAACGGTGTTGTTCCAGTTGTCTTATTCACAGCGGAATTCATTTTTCTTTCAACAGAAGAAATTGTTTTGTCCCACTTTTCATCCTTGAAATCAATTGAAGTTACCACCACTGGAATAATAGATTTCATCCTTATTTCTGCCATACTATTAGCCTGTGGAAATCTAGCTGCAATAAGCTTATGTTCAATATTATGCTTTCTACAAAAAGATTCGAAATCATCGCCTGTGAAAGCCGTTCCCTGATCACTCACAATAGTTTTAGGGATACCATAATTGTTAATGAATAATTCAATTTGTGTTACAGTTTCTTTAGCAGTTGTACTCCTTGTAGGATACAGTTTAACAAACCTAGAAAATGCATCAACTACAACTAATATATACATTTTTCCTGCATTGCTTTTTGGAAACGGTCCCAAATGATCCAAATGAATTTTTATCATCGGTCTCTCAGGCATCTTCGGACTACATAGTTTACCTGGTTTTCTACCTCCTGGAACTTTAGCCAAAAGGCATTCAAAGCATCCTTGAATGTGTTTCCTTACATACCTCCTCAGTCCCCTGAACCAAAACTTCCTCAGTATGCCAGACACTGTTCTATCCAATGACCAGTGACCCATTTGATCATGGTATTTCACAACTGTCGCTTTTCTCATTGAATCTGGAATAACATATAGCCAATTATATTTCCCATTGATTTTAACTTTTTTATAAATTCTCCCTGCATTTATCTCATAGTCTTTTACCAAGTTATTTTCTTCTCTACTTCTCTCATTTTCCTCCTTTTTCAAGATTTCACTCAGTTTCTTCAACCTCTCGTCTCCTCTCTGAATCATCAAAATTCTATCATCTTCTGCAATAATAGTATACATATTCAATCTCCTTTCATAAACCTCTTCAATCATTCCCTCATGATTCGCTTCTTCTACAGGTGCTCTGCTCAGACTATCTACATGCGCCATTTTCTCTCCAGCCCTATGTTTAATCTCAAAATCATACTCGGACAAAGTAGTATACCAGCGTGCAATCTGTGGTATGATAGTTTTCTTTGCATTCAAAAACACAAGTGCCTGACAATCACTCACAATTGTGAACTTTATACCCAATATCATTGGTCTCAATCTCTCACAACACCAAACAATTGCTAAGAGTTCAAGTTTTGATGAATGATACAACTTTTCAGCATCATTTGTTTTCTTCGACACACAATATACTAAATGCATCTTACCATCTGTTCCTTCTTGTAACAACAAACCTGCTACACCCAACGATGATGCATCACAGTGAAGTTCTGTTCTTGCCTTTGGGTTATATAATTGCAAAACCGGTGCTTTTTGCAGAAGGTCCTTCAATCTACAAAACTCCTCCTGTTGCTTTTCTTCCCAAATAAAATCCACATTGCTTCTTGTCAAATCTGATATCGATCTTGTTATTGCTGCATAATTTTTAACAAATCTCCGGAAAAAACCTGTCAGTCCAAGGAATCTTCGGACTTCGTGTTTGTTTTTTGGAACAGGAAACTCCTCAACAGCTCTCAGCTTCGTAGGACCTGGAAATAATCCATCTGAAGTTAACTGGAAACCTAGAAACATCACGCTTTTCTTTCCAAATTCACATTTACTTAACTTGAATGTTAATTTTGCTTCTGAAAATGCATGAAATACTTTCCTCAACTTTTCTAACATATCCGTCCAGTCCATAGCACCTATGAGAATATCATCCAAATACGACACTGCCACCGTATTTTTCAATGGTCCCAATACTAGCGATATCAATTTGGAAAACTCAAATGGAGCATTTACTAACCCGAAACAAAGTCTTTGAAATTCTGCTATGCCATCTGGATAAATAAAAGCGGTTTTCTTCTTTGACTCTTCATCTAAAGGTATTTGCAGATATCCTGACATCAAGTCTAATGTGCAAAATATTTTAGAACCAGTCAAAATTTCGAAACAATCATCAATTTGTGGCATTGGAAAATTTTTATTCTTAGTTTGGTTATTCAACTTCCGAAAGTCAATAACGAGTCTTTTTTCACCAGAACTCTTCGGTACCAGTAATACAGGAGATGCATAAGAAGAATTTGTGTCTCTGACTATTCCGCATTCCCGCCATTCTTCAACAATATCTTTTATGATCTTCCTATCCTCAAAATTACATTTGTATGGTTTCATCCTGAATGGTTTATTATTATCCTCTATATTAACCGTCATAATATCTGTACACCCTAGCTCATGTATATTCAAAGCGAAACAATCACGAAATTCATTGAGCAAATCTAGTAATTTCTCACGATCGCAAATTTCTACAGAGTCATCAAATTTCAACAAATCCAAAGTAATGAGATGTCTCTTAACTGAGTGTTCTTCACTTACTACATTTTCCGTGATACCTCTGATTTCTCCAATCCGATCATTCATTTTCAGTTCAACTTCGGCTTGAGACACTATCGGCAAGTGACCGATTTCCTCCCCAATACGAACTTGAACAAAATTGATCCTGTTCTTCTCCACTTTCATGGCCTTCTGTACATAAACCTGCCTTTTTGTAGTACATGACTGCAACTGCATACTACGAAATGGGTCTTCATTTCTGTATCCGAAATGTAGACTGTCCCCAACACGAACATATGCTAATCCTGGCAATTCCGTGAACGTTCTTCCGATCACTAGATCCAATGGTTGCACATTATCCGGTACAACTAATGCTTCGACTTCTTCTTCAACTTCATCTAGTCCAATTTTGATTTTCACTGCTTGATCACAGTGAACCGGACAATTGTCACCGAATCCGTACAACTTCCTGTCTATCGAATGAGTATTCAGACTGTTGTCCTCGATAACTGTCCTTTTTATTGTACATACCGCACTGCCTGGATCAACGAAAGCTGTAACATATAAATCATTGTTCAACGAGATTTGTCTTATGAATTTTGCAATGGATTCATCCTCATCCTTTGATCCATGAACTAACGATTGAGTGTTGTCGGAACTAGGTTGCGGAGTTGTATCATTTGTAACCAATGTACTAGACCTGCGTTTCGGACAATCAGCTTTCAAATGCCCCCCTACTTTGCAATAAAAACAGTGTCTTTTTTCAACCCTACGCTGTTCTTGATTCCCCGGCGATTCTGTTCCACTCGTTGAAGGAATATCTGATGACGAATTATTTACTGATTTATTAACAGATTCTTTGACTATAATTATTTCTCTTCTCAGATGCATAACTTGACTGGGCTTGAAATTTTCCAAATTTCTGATATGACTGACTTTTATTCAAATTAGATTTACCATAAATTCTTTCAAATCTTATGATTTCATGTAGAAGATCATCAAAATTATCAATTCTAGTAGCAACAAGACCTGGTATGATATCTTTATTTAGTAGACCAATCAAAATTTGTTCCTTGGTGTCGTCAAAATCAAAACCAAGTGCTTGGCAAATTGTAACTTTATCATGAAAATAAGAGGAAACAGATTCTGACTTACCCTGTATTCTCTTTTTCATTTTCTCCCAAAGCTCATCTTTGCTACTTTTCAAGTTGAATGTTTTTGTAAATCTATACCTGAAGTCGTCAAAATTCTGAATTTCCGCCGCTTTTTCAATAAACCATTTCTTCGCAGTACCAACTAAATGAATCTTAGCTGTTTCCAGTTTGAATTCTTCCGGCCATTTATGAAGTAAAGCTGCACTTTCCACCGTCTTCAACCAGTCCATTGCCTTCTTTCCTAGATCTTCCCCATCGAAATTTTCAATGCTTTGACTAAAATCGGGCATTACCTGAAACTGTGTTTGAACCTGAGTTTGTGCTTGTTTCTCCAATAGCTTTAGAAATCTCTCTTCACTGGCTAATCTTGCTCGTTCCATCATTTGCATCATATCCATGAATCTATCCATAAATTGTCCTTCTCCTGATGAACCTGACACGGTATCTGCTTCAGAATTCATTTCGTGACTTTGGCTGTCAACAATTGTCAGATATGAAATATTCTTGCAAAATCCGATAAACTGCTTCTGAACTGCTTGGATTGCACCCACGATCTAGCTTTTGCACTTGATATTGCTTCTTACTTGTTTAAAGATATTATCCGCCTCTCTGCTCTGTGTTTCTTGACCACTTCTGATTTCTGTTGGAAATATTCACGGCCAATATCTCCCAGGATAGCTTTTGGGTCTCAAGAAATAAGAACTATACCGAGAAACTTTCTACTTTGCTTTAATTGTAAGAAAACGAATATTCAAATTACAAAAACGTATCTCGTGTTCAAAAACAAAACCTTGTTATCCCTCGTCCTGGAAACCTCCCAGAAAAACATAATCTCTACAGTCAGAATAATACAAGGTGACTCGGGAAATCTTCTACATTAGTATAGGCTAAAATTGTTGAAAAACTAATGATTCGAACAAAATTAACTCAAATGTGACATTATATTTCTGTCATTACATATACCTTTAGAGGTGCGCAAATTTGAGAAGGGATCCTTCATGGCATTCAACTTCTATTTTCACTTTTCCTTTCAAATATAGGGTGGCCAAACAAGCAGACATGAATTTATACCGGGTGTCAACGCATCTTTTAGAGAAGTCATAACTTCTAGAGTATGAAGTGTATCATAATGAGATGTGGAATAGGATAATGGTTTGTGCGAGGCTATGTGATAAGACTGATTTACGCATCTTCTCCTTTTTCGGTTACTTATTCCGGTTTTACCAGAAATGAATTCGGTTTCTATTTTTTCAATGGAACACACTGTATATTGTAAGATATTCGGAATTTTGAGACAATTCTGAGTCAGAATATGACTTTTTTTTTACGTTCACATCAATTTTTTGAGACACTTTTAATATGGCATATATCTAGGTACATTAAGGTAAAAATGACATATCATTTTGGTATTTCTGTACAACAACAAATTGTATACATTCAAAAATCAACAACCAAGTACTTCCCTAGTTCATGAATTCTCTTGCAGTTCGAATAAATCATTTCAAAAAACAAAGTTGCTGGCATTTCCCGAAAAAATGGAAGTACGCCATATTGGAATGTAATGTGATCCGAAATGGTTGCTTATATAACTACCAAATTTCAGAAAAATCCACGAATCCACGAAAGTTACATGGGTGTCCGGATATCCTGTATCACCCGGTATAATAGATAGGAATAAGACAAAATTACATTTTCGTGTCTATTATTCTCCAAATGGCAAGCACTTTTGCAAAAGAGTTTTTCTCCACAAATCTAACGATACTAATTTATTTGCAATTGGATCAAAAATGAAAACATGAATAATTGAGTGTTACTAAATGAAAATACACTGGATAATAATAATTCATTTACTTTCGTCAAGTGTGCTATGGATAGTCATGATGCATAATATTCTGAAGTTATTTTCATCATGTCATCTTCGGAAAACAAACCACTCACTTAGGTGATGACAGAAACGCATAAATCTTACGAGTAGACAGTGAAAGCAGAGATGTTACTTAATTTTATGCAATATTAAAAGTGAATCTAATGAAAAACTTTTGAAAATGTCATATTCTGATACTGTATTGTCTCAGAAAGCCAAACATTCTACAATATATATTATTAGGGTGTTCCATTCGAAAATTCAAAACCGGAACCATTTCCGGTGGAACGGAAGTGACCAGGAAGTGGAAAAAATGCGAAAATTTTCCTATTCAGGCACTATTATATTAACCTATACCAAATCTCATTTTGATACATCTAATGTTCTAGAATATATGACCTGTCTAATAGATTTGTTCACACCCGGCATACGACTAACAGTAGCATTTTTACTCGTATTTTGATTACTGTTTATTGTGTCTTATCATTTTTTGTATATTTCATACTGATGAAGGGTTTCAAGATGTAATATCATATTCATAATGCGATAATATTTCATATGATAAGAGTTCAGCATGAGAGATTTATTACTCCAAACTTGGTTCACATTCATTTTCAATGAAAAAGACACAATTCGCGATAGAAAATAACACGTTGCCCCACCTGACGGCAACAACTTGAACACTTCTGAGCGGTTTGTTTTGATGATGTGACCAATATGCACAAACAAAGAACAAATATGAACCAATGAACATTAAGTAAACAGGCTGCTTTGACAGTTTTCAAGAACTCCGATAGGAGGCGTACGCTAATTTTCTATCGCGAATAAGTCATCTCCACGAGCTTTAATTTGAAAACTTCAAATCATCAGGTATTTATATTAATAAGTCATGGTATGAGGGGTTATCAAGGGTTACATCTGCTACATATAAAATAAAATGATAGGGTTTTTGAGGGTACCCGACCCATAATGAAGATGATTATGGAGGAAAAGAATGTGATTCAATAACCAGCACACATCTACTTCTACTATTAGGCAAAGGTAAAAAAAAAATCGTTGCTTAATAGTGACTTCTACCAACGTTTAAGTTAACATTTTTGATTTTATAATTATTTTCAGTGTTACATGAGAGCCATGTACGAATACGACCCCCAGGAAGACACCCTGCTCCCTTGCAAAGAAATAGGCCTCTCCTTCGACCGCGGAGACATCCTCCAGATAGTGGACCAGCGTGACCCCAACTGGTGGCAAGCCAAGAAGGTCAGGTTAGGTTAGGTTAGGGCCGGATAATTGAAAAACGGTTTTGATTTTGCTGGAGCTAAGTACTTATGGAATGATGCTGTTCTCCACGGCAATATCAGGAAAAACCCAGTAACCACCACACTTACGTCGAGAAGGGTCGAAATAACGTACTAAAATTACCATAACGGTTTGTTTAAATAACGCAAAAATGTCGCTGGTCGCTATCATACACGTTGTGTTCAATCGGTACACAAGCATGTTTTCAACTACTTATTTGATATCAATTAATTCGTTTTCACATGATTATAGACGTTTACAAATGGGTGATTTTTTATGTATTTTCAACGTTATCAGTTCACGATTGAACGACGTATCAAGTACACCCAATGGTACAAGTAAAGTTATAAATAAATGTGAATTTCAAACGTTGAAATAAACAATGATTGCTACTCAGGTCATTTACCATTAACGAGTAGGATGAAATATACAGTTTCTCACATGTTTTGTTGTTTTAGTTGTTTTAGTTCATAGTTACCATTTGATTTTCTTTTCTTCATGAAAGTTTCATTACTTTTTTTCATCATTAGGTAAACGGGGACGGAGCGACAGGCCTGATACCATCTCTAGAGCTCGAGGAGCGCAGAAAAGCCTTCGTGGCGCCCGAGGCGGACTTCGTGCACAAGATTAGCATCTGCGGAGCGCGCATCTCGAAGAAAAAGAAGAAGATCAGCTACCAGTCGAAGAGCAGCTGCGATTTCGACAAGGCCGAGCTGTTGTTGTACGAGGAGGTGACGAGGATGCCGCCGTTCAAGAGGAAAACCTTGGTCTTGATGGGCACGCAGGGAGTGGGGCGACGAACGTTGAAGAATAGGCTGATCAATAGTGATCCCGAGAAGTTTGGGGGTGTTATACCATGTAAGAATAAACAGACATACATATATTTGGTTTTTAAGTACCGTTAAACGGGGATTTATGAGTCTGCCGGGGGTAAGTGAAATATTTGTATTTTTTTTGGTTCCCGTTAGAATTGCGTGTTTTATCTAAAATTCCGCAGTAATAACATTTCTTGACAGATCAACATAAACCTCTGTGGAAATGAGAACAGGAGAACTATTTGTCGCTGGTAGTAGGTCTTTCAATGGGATTAATACTTCCATAAATATCGTTGACAGTCTCTTCGAAGAAAAACAATTGAAAAATATACCGTTTTCCCAATAATTAAAAAGAACCTCACATGGATTTTTCCTGGCCTATATGAACCATGTCAAGACACTAGGTAAATTGTTACCTATGCCATTTATTTTTTCGTATTTTTTGTTATTTTGCAACATTTTTAAAACCAAAGATTTTGTTTTTTTTTGCACTCTACATGAGGTGAGTAAATAAAATGTTTCTTATCGTTTCGTCCATCATGTTGTCTACATTTTCGTTGGATCAATTTTTTTCATATTAGAAAATTGTTTCATTCGAGCAATGGCCGTTAAAGGCATATATGAAAAATTCCCAAGAAATCAGTTGAATCATATCGAAAACTTAAATCGTTTCACGTTACCTTGGACCTGTCACCTTTATGAAACGATGCTTTTTCAAAATTAAAGCCATGGATGAGTATTACTGATTTTTATGTGAAAAATAATGTTGATGAAACATGAGGCTATCATAATCAATATGATTATATAATGTGTGAAGGTTAAAAGTATATAAAAGTTGTTTCATAAATTCCCGTTCTACGGTACTCAGGAGGGCTTATTGGTTGACCAATTTCAAATTTCAGATGGCATTGTTGAGGATGGTGGTTATATCAGCTGTTAGTCTTCGTTTATTTATTCCTTGAAACAAAATTTGTTTGCAAAACCTCGACTTCCTGAAAATATATTCAGGACACTCCTCGAAATAATGGATGTTCGTGCTTGTACGAATTCCGCGATGCTAATAAAATTGCGGCTGAAAATATCACAATGAAGTTGAAATAGTTGAATTTTTTACGAATTCGGATGGAATCATAACCACACAGTATGCATAAAATGTGCTGTTGGGGAATTCGGCAGCAGAAGCCGAAAAAAGACTAGACTAGACACTAGACTACAGGTAGGTACACAAATTATAATGATGAGATTCATCATTTATTGTTCATTTGATTAATTTTTCTCCGCATGGATTTCTCTGGATCATTTGTATCGTCTCTATAGAGCTAATGATAATAAGAGAATCGGAAGGTCTTCAAAACAAGGTACCACGTGACCCCTCTTTATATTAAAAAAAAAAGTTGATGGTGCCCACTTGACACTAGGTCACGGAACCACAACCATTTTCATACCAAATAGTAGTAAAAGAGGTACCTTCTAGCCTGAATTTTACCCGACCTCGCTAGTTTCGTTTATAGGTTAAAGGGGAGAAGGACTTTTCCGTCCTCACTGTATATGACAATAGAACCCTTACCTCCTGCAAATTTTGTCACATGGCTATGAAAGTCGAATCCGAATTTTGCGATTCGCATAAATTTTGCGGAATTCGTATAAGCATGAACATACCTTAGGAAAGTTGCGGTCGCTTCCAGGTGGAGAGGAAGTAGTAATAGTAAAATATTTTTGTTTTGTAAAATAAACAGCCAGCAACATTACCGGGCTATTACTCAATCAATTCCTGTGAATAAAAAAATGTAGGCAGCTATATCATATAAACATATATGATTTATTTATAATTTAGATACCACAAGGCCTCAGAGAGTGTTAGAAGAAAATGGCCAGAGCTACTGGTTCACAGACAGAGAATCCATGGAAGAGGATATCAAACATCACAAATTTTTAGAGTATGGCGAATATAACGGACATCTCTACGGAACCCACTTGGATTCTATAAGAGATGTCATAAAAGAGGTAATGATTAGATAATTCATTCAGATTTGTATATTACTGTTGACCTTCCTTATTATGTTCTTGCTGATCCCCTTTTTCAATGCTATTTTTTTAGGGGAGAATGTGTGTATTGGATTGTAGTCCGATCTCTTTGAAAATGCTTCACAACAGCTCAGAGTTTTTGCCTTATGTGATTTTTGTAGCTGCTCCTGGTATGGAACAATTGAAGAATTTGTATGATGTTGGCAAGAGTAACTCGAACATGAGATACTCTAGTAGAAATCTAACGGTAAATATTTCATCAATTCTCACTATAATAGTGTATGCTAAAATATAAGCATCATAAGGAAAACTTTGAAACACCATTTTCAACTTAAGTCTTCTTGTAGGTGTTTGTTTACATATAGCATACTTTTTGGCAGACCCCAACGAATGATTAATTCCTCCATAGTACAAATTAAGATAAATGACTGATGTTTTTATACACGCCTGGCAAGAATAATTTTTCTATAGAGAAATCGTGTGAATAAATACGCATATTCATAGATTCATGCGTATTCAACAAAGAGAGGCAAAAAGCGTCGTTGCCACACCCACTCGAGTATGGCACGTGTGGCGAACGATAATACTTTCGGTCGGACCAAAAAATGGACTCGCTCGAAGGAGGGGTTAACGAGATACGAAACTCATGCACAAGGTTTCTCTGTAGGAACATTATTCTTGCCACACATGTATAATATTCTGTGAGTTTGTTTATACAAAGACAGTTTTGATGATTGTTTTTTTTTATTTAGTGTTTCAATTTTGGATATAATAGTAAGGTGGTGCAAAAGTAATCACCCTATAGAGGCGAGCAATTTGGGAGAGATTTTCGTGTTTTCGTATTTAGGGAGACCAGCTGATGGTTGGGTACAAATCAATTCATTATTGTCTCAAAAAACAAACAATAATCCAACACCTACCTCCTCTTCCTATCCTCTCTAGGTACACACGTTCTTCGAAGATCATAGGAATTGGAAACTTGCAACCATACCTATGGCCCTTCCTCTTTTTAACGTGACTTTCAATGTTTTGTATAGGACGGTAAGACAAAGGCCGATTTAGTTGAATCGGTATATATCATTATAGATCTGCGAGAAAAACGGAGGGAAAATACTCTTCAAACGCTCCTAAATGTGCATCAACTACAACTCTGGCAGTGGCCCCTTCATCGTTATTGTTTTTTTTTGAATTAAATGGAAAAATTTTGAAGGTGCATCAATTACACATTATCAACAAACAAACATTTTTCATTTTGAAAAGTGATTACTGTTGCGCCACCTTGTATTTGAGAATTGCATGTTCTTAATTATACCCTTCTGGGTATTCGTTTCAAAATCAAAGCTATTATTGTTCATCATTATTTATATTGATTGAATATTTTTTATTGATATTAGTGGTTCGTTTTTCATTTGATATGTAGTTGTAAATACTTTTATTTTTTGCATGACAGTTTGATCGTCAAAGTTCAATACGATACAGTTCAAGAAGAGCTAGAACATTGGAATCGTTAGCATCTCTCTACGAGGTAAGTTCAATTTTTCGCATGAAAAAACTGCGTTAGAAAAGCATCTTATATGGGCAATTGAAAGCATCATAGACTGCACTGCACCTGGTACATAGAAGATTATTTCTTGTGTATCTACTTTTCTCAACAATTTATGGTACTTTTCATAGTTGTCCATGTTTCTGTTTTTTATGAACTCAGGAAAAATGTATTTTTCCTAGCAAGTATCATTGGGAAGCACCAAAAAAAACCTTAAAACTCACGCAAACTCCACAGTTGTGGAACAGATTCAGGTAGAATACTGCTTCACTTTGCACTATCATTGGCACAATAATATACATGGTGTTTTTCCAACTCCATTCAAATCTCTCGTAAGCTGATTCTCAAGATGAAAGTGAGATATAATTCCTTATTAGGCAGCTACAGCACTTCAAAGATGAGCTATTTATGATGGTTTTCACATTAGAAATTATTATACACTACACTCAGGTTGTTGTTGGATATCTAAGATACCGTTCCGTAGATATGCTTAGTAAGAATATTCTGGAAACATCCTCAAGAAATGGTTCAAACTAAGAGGGCGAAGAGTGAAACTCACTCAATATTTTGTTTGTATAATTTCATTCGTAATATTTGACATGGCATAATATTTTATCATGCTCTACGTAAAAGAAGTGCTCCTGCTTATTTGAAACTGTTATTGCATGGGCGTCAAAAAATTCTTTTAATTCAATAGATATTCCCAGAATATCTGATCAAGCATAAATTCTCATTGATTGTGCCATCTTTTGTTGCTATCCATTGAATGTCGAAAGAATGGAATGAAAACCATTTCCTGTGGCCCAAAATATCGATGTTGTTTGTTTATTATTTTCTTCAATTGAATGAATTAGACATAGGTACATAATATCATACTAGGTGACGACGCAAAAGGTACCATTTTACTCTAACATTGAAACAATATATTCATCAGATTGAATATATATTCCTCACATTCACTAGTTTTGGAAAAGATACGAGGGTTTTAGAAAATATGAGTGGATTGATCATTTTCACAACCTGAATGTCACAGGTGTAAAAATAGTCAGACTTGAAACTTGAAAGTGAAAAATTTCAAGTTAATTCATAAGATTGTCTCATTCGATTTCAAGGACATATTCTGTATTTAATAATGTGTCCAAAACATCTAAAAATTATTATTATTGGTTAATATATGGTCTCTAGAATTATTATTGACCGACAAGCATTCTTCAAAGATACCCATCTGCAACGGGTTTTTGCATAATTTCTTTACTCAACAGGAAGAAGATCTGAAGAGAGCTCTGGAGGAAAGCGCGAGTTTGCAGAGGACTTATGACAAGTACATAGACATGGTGATTCCAAACAATGATTTCGATACGACTTTCAGGGAAATTGTAGAAGCACTCGATTCCTTGACTACTGAACATCAGTGGGTGCCTGTCAATTGGATATACTAGATAATATTGTCACAGAAATATCCATTTTAATGGTATTTTTAGTGGCGAAATATAATTCCCTAGTGTTATGTCTATTGTGCGACCGCTGTTGAATTTTGCAGATATATATTTTTCAAGTTATTTTCTACCTGATATTACTGCCGAAATTTGCACGGATGCACATAATATAAAAACGGCATTTTTTTTCTATCATCTCATTATTTAGTGACATAGGTAAGTTTGGAATAATCTTAAATTTTCTTGTCAGAACTGTCTCCATTGTTACAGCACATTGGTAGCAATATACCAACAGTTTGTATATTTGAAGTAGTGTGATAGAAGTGGTCTAAGTCTAAACCGTAGTTAGGCTGGGTTAGGTAAATAAACGAATTCTAATGCGATAGATTCCAAATCACTTAGTGAAATACTTCGCACTGGCTTCAGAATCCATGACTGAACATTAATTTTGCACAACGCTCGTCTCAAATATTTGAGTAATTATAAATATATATTTTTTTACATTCAGAATGAATATGTTCATCTTATGAATGATGAAAAATACTACCTACATCGAAACATTAATCAGGTTTTTGTTCATGCTGCTTTCATGTGAGTATCGGACTGCACAACAAAAGCGTTAATTAACGGTTATTACTTTTAAATCAAGTATGCACACTTAATATTTATATTTGAGGATTGTAAATATACCTACTCAAATGATTCTGAAACTAATTCAGATGTTATGTTCTGAGACTAATGTCGAAATCGTTTCCATGTTTATTTGATTGATAATTCTGAGTTAGATCGTACTAAACGAATTGGAGTTAAATCCGTACTATTGAAATAAGGTAAAGTAAGTTAACTAAAGGCTTGCTTACCTTTGATTTTTTAGATTAGATAGGTAGAGGTATACAAAAATCTATGAATTGATATTTTATATTGATATTTTTGGACTTATTTTTCAATTTTCCAATTATTTGGAGGCACCCACTAATAAGTCGTGAAATGAACTAATATTCGATCAACATGTGCGTCATGATTTTTTTACTTTCAAAAGTGATTCAGGCGGAGAGGTTTTTCCGACTGAAATTTGAGAATTAAAATTATACACCTTGAGTAATATCAATTCGATATGAGATTTGATTGACCACTACATCACAAGTTTATTTCAGTAAAAAAACTTTTTATTTTTCATCACTGTCATCTAGTTTTAATCACTCATTTCAACCCGTCCATGTTGTGTTCATGAATAATTTTTGTTGTTACAATGATTGAGTTATCCTCAATGCGATTTTATTATTATTATAATTTTTTTATACATAAATATATATATTTACTTATTCATTATGACAGTACTGGTAGTCTTTCAAAAGTGCAAGTTTTATGTTATATATTATAGCTTATGAGAAATAAATTGAATAAAAATGATATTTCAGTTTATTTTATGAAAATATACTTATCCCTAAAATAATTTATTATACACATATATATTTACAATTTTTAAAAGGTAATTGAATGTTTTGTCATCGGTTTTCTAAGTTCTTAAGGCACTTATCTGAAAAAATGTCACATATCTCATTTGGAGTAATGATGTTGGTCCAAACTTAATTTGGATTTTTTTCTTACCTCTGGCCTCGTATAAATCATTCCAAAGTAATTTCTGAATAGCTTCCTTCCAAAGCCTAACAGTTTCTTCATCTTTTGTCTTCAATTTATATTCTACATGCCTATTTGCCACTCTGTTCTTGTTGAAATCAATCAAAATCAAAACTGTCTTTTTAGTTGAAGGTGGCAAACTCAAATCCTTAATTTTAATACATGCTAAATAATAATATGAGTTAGCTTCTTCCTCCTGAAATTAAAAAAACAATAAATTGCCCGGTTGGACACTGGAACAACTACACACGATTGTCAAGATGATTATTCTTTCGAACATGAACGCCATCACATTTTTCTTCTTGACGGGCGTCTTCAATTTGAATTTGTTCCTCAAAATCAAGTTACCATATCCGGTGACGTCAAAAGGACACTCCTTGATGGACACATGGGGCGACAGATCGCCTGCAGTTAATTCTTTTTTCTCAAAATTTGTTGGATACGAGATTGTTGCACTGGGGTCACTGTTTTTCCTGTGAAATATTGAAGTAGGTCGTTTGAGTTTTTTTACGGAGGATCGGGTTGTACTTTTTCTAGACAATTCTGGTTCTTCCATGGTATAATTTATTGAGTTATAATTTATAAGTCATTGTACTGAAGACCTATCATTTATTCACTGTTTAACCTCATTATATTGCAAAACCATTTTGCAATATGCCCACATTATTAAAACAGGAGTAAGGTAGAATAATTGATAGTTACCTACTCATTGTTCTTATCTTATCTCCAGCGGCAATAATCATATTCTATGCTAATTATTTATCACTTTGACATGAAATTTTGTGTTGTTGAAACTGTTGAAACAGAATTAATCCAGATGTTGATATTGAATTCTCCCTTGAAGCACTGGGAAAATAACTGTTCATTGTGACAATTTCTGCTCCAACCATGGCTTCAACTAATTCCTCAATAAATCTGCATAAATCAAGATTAGATTGTTTATAAGAGTTTTTGATGACTCAGAGTAAATGTAACGGTAGGTGTCCATAAATGCATTGTCTACATTGCCATCAATTAGTACGGTCTCTGTTTATGTTCGTTGCTACGGCACACACTGGAAGCATTTAGAAGGATAAATGAGTGATAAATAAATAATCTCAAGTATCATAAAAAATTAGATCGACGTGCTTTTAAATATTGTATTTTTTATCGATTCATAAATTGAATATAATTAATTTTATTTTATTCGCTTATTCCCTTATAATTTCAGTCTGAACGAGGTGGATATCTTTTGGTTCATCCTGGTTTTGAAATATGTACCCACAGGAAGACCACAAGTCATGATTTCATATATTTGATCAATTCATCGAAACATATTGAAAAATTCCATCTGGTAATTGAAATTCGGTTGGCAAGACATTTTTTTGTAAAATTTGATTATCGCCATTTCAAAGTTTGAAACCAACTTCCCAGAAGTCGAAACTTGTGCGGGGCTAGGAAGAGCCGGACATACAGCTTATAGTGGATTCTGAACCATTTCTAGGGGGCCAACCCCAACACATGTAAATCCTAGGGACTTCCCAGGGGCGTCCCTAATTTTATACTAGGACATCCCAGGGATATCCTCTGTCGGGACAAAGTACATACTTGGGACGTCCCAGGGACATCCACTTTCCGACAAAAATGACATCTAAGGGATGACCTTCTGGTGCGTTCCTAGTATGTACTAAGTACGAACAGAGGATATCCCTAGGATGTCCCAAGGATATTCCAGGGACATCCCTTCGACGAAAGAAAAAAAAATAGGTCGAGTAGGGATTGAAACCGGGACCTATAGCTCATCAGGCACGCACTATACTCCATTGGCTAATATGCCTTCTTAAGATTTATTCACTGAACAGATTTATAAACAGTGAAAAACTGGAACCTGAATGAATACAACTTTGTTATGATTTCATGTATAATTATTATCATTCATTGGGTGATTGAAAATGAGAGGCATTATGCATTTACGATTTTTGTTTGCGAAAAATGGTAATTTCTTAAGAAGTTCTGAAACTATATTCTTTATTTTTATTACAATCATTTTCCGTAGGAAAAACAAACATTTTCAAAAAATGAAACACTGTATTTCATCGTATTTTTAGATTCTTCCTGAAGAGCTGATTTCATCAATGTATGACACTTGGGGTCTAGCGGGAATGATTACAGAGATATAGGGTGTTCAAAATCGAGATTTTTCAACTTTAGGATTTTTTTGTGTCGAAACTATTCATTATTGGTCAAAACGGCTTCTATGTCCCTATCTCAACTCTTGATTTACTATCTACTGACATTTAATTGAAACATTTACAGGGTGGTTCAAGATTCAGAATTTTGATCACCATGTATCTGTTCCAAATATTAAATGTCAGTAGACAGTAAATCAAAAGTTGAGATACGGACATGGAAGCCGTTTTGACCGATACTGAATAGTTTCGTCATAAAAAAATCAAAAAGTTGAAAAATCTCGATTTTGAACACCCTATATCTCTGTAATCATTCCCGCTAGACCCCAAGTGTGATTCATCGATCAAATCAGCTTTTCAGGGAGAATCTGAAAATACAATGAAAAATAGGGTGTTCCGTTTAAAAAAATCAAATAGTACCCTGTGAATCGTTTGTTCCGAACACCCTGTATTTTCTGATGTAGCGGAAAAAAAAACTTTATCGAAAATCATTTACCGGGCAGGATGTCCACTGGACAACCACTGTAGGGATGCACCAATTATGTCTTTGTACCGCTGGACAAAACGGGGACATACCTAGGACATTTCTGTGTTGTTAGGGAAGGTATACATCATCATTCTATCAATGATTCTAAGCATATTCTTTTGGAAATTTTTATAATTTATTTTGTTAATCACAGAAGATAGATAAATAAATCGTACCTAGATTATATTATAAATATGTACATTTATCAAGTTTTATGTAATAACAGATATTTTAAATCTATGATAATAAATAAATATGAATAATACCTATATTATATAAATATACAATATGATAAAAAAATCAATGAAAGCTTGGGAGAAAGTTAACAGAAAGGTCTTTCAATTATGGTATTTTCAATTGTTTTTATATGGTTTTCTCCAATTTACACAGAATCCTCAAATAATTATCCTCGTAGTAGTTTATATCAACGAAAAATCGAAATAAAGTCGCAGCTATCCTATATAACTACTCTAATATATGGAATACTCATAAATAATTATTTCTGTTGAAAAAACGAAAGTTTCTGGTTTTCTAATTGTTCTATTCTACATAAAAAATCGATGATCCTGAAAAATAAAACATTAACCATTTAAGGAAAATAATTATAGGATGACATCAGTAAAATCATTTGTGTTAGTTGTAAATGTCATTATAAGCAATTTTTCAATTGCCGATCTATACACTATACATTCTTAAATTTGTACTTTCACAGTTATATCGAAAAAAGTAAACTCTTGGAAATGTTATTAATTTTTGTTGTACTTATTTCATTATTGTAGATACATAAAAATTGAGAATACCTGCTTCTCCATAGAAACTGTTGATGAGATTTAACATTGATATTCGTGTTCGTAGAATCATCATCAACTATTTTTTAAATTTTGGTCTCGATTATGAAAGATTCTGAAGATTCCTTCGTCATTCCTACACTTTTTTTTACGTTATTCTACATGTTAGTACCCACATACCTTTGTCCACATACCTGTCGATTTTATGCGATTCCGATCTGTGTGTCTTTTATAACGACCCAGTGACGGTACCTTCACAGATTCTGAAAAAAAAGTGAATCAAAAACATACCTGTTGAATATCTGACCATTCCTTACCTTTCACCTCATATAGTTGCTTCCACAGAACATCTTCTATACATTTTTTCCACACATTCCATAGTTTTTCGTTTTTTGCTTCTAAAACGTAGGTATATTTGGCAAGATTATTCTTTTTTTTACTCTTTGTATAATCCGTTAAATGAATCGTGTAATCTTCGAACGTGGCTATCCTCAAATCAGTCATTTTGATACTGTCGTAGTAGTTGAATATTTCCAAATTCCTCTGGAATGCAAAGATACATAGTTTGAATATACATATTACACTTATGATTATCACAAATATTCAAAATAATCATTTCATTAACGAATTGACAGGCTGTTTCCGAATTTGGAGCGATTATCCCGCACTGTTAAGTTCTCTATTTTTTTAAGAAGTCTTGAATTATCTATCTGAAGTGAAGGATGTAATACTAATATCAAGGATATGTTGATCGACACTTTATTTATCAAACCGATTGAAGTGGGCTATATTATATTCTTTAAATCTCGTGTCAATGCTTCTACATGTTTGTCCAAAATATATCATGTTACAGTCATCACAATCTATCTTTAGAATATCTGATTCATAATTATAGTTCCAATTTTATCTTTAGGGTAGCCTAGAAGATTATGAATGGCATTTTTGACCTTATCTCTCAATTTCACAGAATTTTCATTTTTCATGCCCTCTTTTTGGATGTTCAACGGATATAATTCAATGATCGACATGGCAAATAGCCAGGAGAGTAGTTGTTTTCTGTTGTTTATTGAGAATGATATTATGTGTATATCTTGATATGAAGGAGAATGCAAATTCCCTACTTCAGAAGATTTTGTTACCAAATTCTTATCGTGTGTGTTCAATAGATATAATTCAATGTTCGTCGTGGCATGTATAGCCAGGAAAGTAGTTGTTTTCTGTTTCTGAATAAACCGGGTAAGAATTTATATTTTCAACACATAGAGAATTCTCAATGTATTTCTTTATATTATATATATATATCCATTTTTGTTTGTTCATAATTATATACGAGAATATTCCTTTTCAATTATAAATATTGATACATGGATAACATCCATATCATATCTTGAAACGATTCTGTATATGTAAAAATACACATATATATATGTCGTTGCTTTTGTTCTAAGAAGGGAGATCGTTGGTATTCAGAATTCATCGTATTGTGACGTAAGCATGAGATGTCGCGGTGGAGCAAACAAAGAAATGGCACAGAAGAATAAAAACAATACCTCCAATATCCTTCAAACACCTCTTTGGGGGTGCATATCACGTCTTGAAAAAACATCCTCATGCCAACATTTTTGAAACATCCCAAACCATTCCAGAAGTACTTCCTCAGTAGGCAAACAAAGAAATGCCACATATAAACAAAAACTACACTTTCAATATCTTTTGAAGACCTCTTTGGGAACTCATAATACACCTCAAAAAATCATCCTGATGCCTGAATTTTTAAGTAGGCACAAAAAGCAATGCCACAGAAGAACATAAACAACACTTCAATATCCTTCGAAGACCTCTTTGGGAAGTTCATATAACGTCCCAAAAAAACATCTTCATGCCAACATTTTCAAAACATCCCAAAACATTCTAGGAATGTTTGTGCTCGCTGGGACTCGACTTGTACGATATAGTGAATAACTTGTAGAGAATCATCAGTGTCAATTCTGGTGCACATTTTTCATGTATAATCTACGACTATTCCATATAAAACATGGAAATAGAAAAAAAAAAAATGACTTAAATTGACATCACATTCTGTAGACAGCCAAAATTACAATGAACAATTATACGTGATATAATATAATCATAATGTTATTTGAACAAAAATATCGTTCTTGAGTTTTCGGCTAAATCAATTACTTCGACCTTCGTTGATAAAATCAATTCTATCTTTATTCATAAGATGTTGATAAATATTTATCATTGATAATGATGCAAACGTATCTTGTTGAGAAAATATCTGAGTGAGGACCAGTCGTTAAGGAGGGGGGGGGGGCTTAATTTACTCTCTTGCAATCGACCCTGTGTGCATCAAAAACTATAACTCCACATATCTCTTATTAGCTAAGTAACATCCAAAGTGGTGGTTTCACGAACATTGTATGGCAACTCAGTTATTTAAATCACTGACTAAACGCATGCAGGACCTGTCATATATCTTACTCACTCTTACTCATGTTTCCGAACACCGAGTAACATGGTTCTGTTTTGTATTTGCGATTATTTAACCCCATCAGTCTCCAAAACTTTATTTTAATCCCATTTAATATATCGCTCTGATTTCGGAAATACACATGTACAAAACCAGTACGAAATTTCGATATGATGATATAATAATGAAAGAACTCTAGCACATCAGCACTGAACAGATAGAATGTGGAAACTTACCTGATCATTGGTGGTGAAGACAAGAACATTTTCGAACAAAAATACCATCGCCTCTAGCTTCCTGGGTTTAATAATGCTGAATTTTTCCCTCAATTTAAAGGATCCATAGTCTAGTCTGCTTATTGGACTGTTTTCTATAGATTCTGCCGCTACTGCATCATTACCTTTGGTCATTTCACTTCTCACTATGTTAAGTGCCTCCTGGACAGTCTCAATGGGTTGGTTGAGCTTAGACAGCTGCTTTTCTATGTTTTCTAGGAAGAGAATGTATTTGCCTAATCTTTGGACAGGAGTTAGTAGATATGCTGAGAAATCAAGTCGTTCTTCGAATGTTTCTTGCATATCCTAAAAAAAGAACTCAGATATACTATCATCATCACCTGCTATAGGTAGGTAGGTATTCCTACCCAGCGAGCACAAAAACATCTCAGAGATGTTAAAAGTACGAGATTTCGAGACATTGAACCTCCCCACTGCGATGTTCTGTTCACACATGAATAGAACTATTATAGAACAGCCAATGTCCGCCGCAGGCGGCAGTTATCGAGATGTCCTTGATATGTCACAAAACTACCTTCTCCCTAGTTCTTTTTAAAGCCTTTTCATGGACACAACAAAACATTTTCAACGCGTCTTGCGCACATTAAATCGCTGTAAAAAAACCATTTTCAAGGTACTTTTCTGAAGCCGTTTGTCAAAATGAACTTTTGCATTAGGATTCCATTTCCCTTGAATGAAAAAATGAATTGAAAATATTTTCTTGATATGAAATTACCTTCTTAATCGGTTTCTGAGTAGTGCTTACTACACACAGACATATAATTGGAAATAGGTTTCCCAATTTTTGAAATGTTCTCCACAATGCATAATTTTGCAACTGCGGAGAAGCTGTGTATTGATAAATTCGTACTTTTATATATTGATTTCACTGAGGCACCGAACAACACATCTTGCATCTGATGGTCATTATTACAAACTAAATAAGTCTTCTAACACAATAAACTTCACCAAATTCCTTTCTGTTCGTTAGCAGCGTGATGTAAGCGTGACACGCTGCAAACGCGAATGCCAATTGCGAACAAGAAGAACAAAATCGAAAACAAATCAGAATTCATCGTATTGTGACGTAAGCTTGAGACTTTGTGGTGAGGCAAACAAAGAACGGGCACAAAAGAAACAAAAACAATACTTTCAATATCCTTCTACGACCTCTTTGAGACGTGCATATTACGCCTCAAAAAAGCATCCTCATGCCTACATTTTTAAAACATCCCAAAACATCCAAGGGATGTTTGTGCTCGCTGGGTGTTGCCCCTCAAATATCAATCCAATTCAGATTGAGATGATTTGAAAATTCTCACACATTGTTTAGAAGTGTATCATTATTCAAAAGAAACAAACTTCTTCCAAAAAACAATCTTAACTCTTGAAATATTAATTTCGTACCTTGATAACCAAGTTGAAATCTTTCAACAATATATCTGCTTTTCGTTTGTTCCTGAAGTAAAACTGGTATAACTCGAAAACAGATTTCTAAAAACATATTGGGTTAGACAAATTATACTCAGATATAAAATTCTTTCTTTTACGTGGTCTATGAAACATCTGACGACGCCATTAACATAATGACTACATTTTTCCAATGCCTCCAGGAATTTCGTTTGCTTCCTGTGGATTCTTTCAATGTTACCAAAAAGGTATCCCGCCATTCCAACCAAATGTGGGGGAGTATTATCTTCAATATAAGGCTTATACACCTGAAACATAATAATTGTTAATGTAATTTGGAGTTTTGGAGACATGTTTATTTTTATTATTCTCTCATTTTCCTCCTCTTATATTTGGATATAAAATGAGATTAATCCCCTTATAGTTTTGAATTTCAAACGATTCCATCTCAATATTATTTGTTCATTATGCATCATCTATTCTAATCTAATATTTCTAATCTTGATACTTTCTGAAGTGTTCTGGTTGACGAATTTCCAAACAACCTCTTGCTCCACCCAAATAACTTACTTTGATTATTTTGCCTAAATCCTCAACATACTTTCTTTCCGTTGTTACAATTTCGTCTACAATGTATTGCAATCTGCAATTGAAAAGAAGTTGAAAACACAGATGACTGAGCTATAATTTCAAACACTAACTGTCTTGCTGGCGTGGTAGAATTACTCCTACTAACAGGCGAAGAATCTCCATGTCCTGCAGTTGATGCATTAGACTTGAGGACTGTCCCATGATTTGCCACCCTCTCAATACGTATGATCCCCTTATCGTCGCAAAAGGTCTCTCTCCTCACATTACTGTAAACTACTGGATCGTCATTGTTCTTCCCTAATTCTATACTTTCATCGTCTTCATCGAATCCTGAACTCTCCCTGGAGGTACCAGAGTAAACTGTTGATCTGTTTGAAGCAGGAGGACTATAAACAAAGAAGTGTTGTGCGGGATTATCTCCATCAGGGGTAAACACATTGTTTTCTTCAATATCGTTCTGAATTGAGCGTATATCTTCACGGCTACCTTTTTCTTTATCGAAATCGTCTCTGACTGTGTCATGGTCTCCCTGGTAAAACTTCATTTGCTGTTTTTCTCTTGGGTCCTCGATATCTTCGTATATATGTTCATCCGGACCAATTAGGTCATTGTCTTCAGTATAATTCTGATATATTCTAATTTCCTCACGGTAGTCCTTTTCCGTAATGAAATCATCTCCTAATGTATCATGGAGTAACTCATAGGTGTTGTTATCTTCCTGATGGTAGAACACCATCTGAGATTCTTCTATTGGTACCTCGATGTGTTCTTCTGTGCCTAGAGCTATTGTCCTTCTATCGAATATCACTTTGATTTCTATCAGCTCTCTGCCCTCATCGTTATAAGCTTCAACAACGGTAACGCCATCTTCAATACCATCGCCTAGACTTTCGCTGAATTCATCATCATCAAGTAGTATTCGATCGGGATTTCCTTTGGTTTCATCTTCAATAATTTCATTCTGAATGGTGTGTTGTGAGTCGTCTGATTTTCTGATAGCATCGTCTAAAACATGTTTGCTGTTGTATCTCATTATGTCTAAGAAAGTATCTTCTCTAAGATGAGGTGAACCACAGTGTTGCGAACGAGCCACATTATCTGTTTCTTCAGTTTGGTTGAAAATAAATTGGCTTCCGACAGTTGTGTGCTCATCATCGTCCATGAAGCCGTCCGCTTTCATATTAGCGAATTCATAGTCCATTTTTTGGATCAAGCTCTTTCGGTACTCTTCAGCTTCTTTTTCGTTCTCTGCTTCCACAAAACTAGTAATCTTCCTTCTGTCTCTTAGCTTGACTTCTTTTCGCTGGTATAAGATCGTGAGCTCCGTCATTATTTTAGCTATTCGTTTTTCTACGATTCTCTTTATTATTTCGTCTGCTTCCCCAATACTATTTAATTCTTCGAGTTTTGCTTCTCGTTCTGCTATTTTTGCAAGTAACTGTTTTCTGTCATCATATTCGTCATGTGTTGATGAAGCTTCTGATACAGAATTCAATTTTTTTGTGTTCTCTTCTGAAGATACATTTTTATTTTCGTACATTCTACACATATCTTCAAATGTTTTCTTAGTTTCACATTCTTTGTGGTTTACTTCTTTTGTTACCTTCTTGTATTTATTTTTTCGTGAAGTGGAATACTGACTATGGCGTCTGATAAACATTTTGTCTCCAATGACATTTTCAGTTTCCTTTTCATTTGAGTTACTGCTACTCCGTGGTAAACTCGAAGAGTTGCTAGTGGACTTTGCTGGTCGTTTTATTTCGAAGAAATTTATGATTTTATTCAAACCACTGTCCTGACTCTTGGATCTTCTTATTTTATTTGGCTCCATCACCACATTGGGTCACAAGGAATTTGTACTGTAGCAGGTTGCACAAAATGTTATCTTATCTCAATTTTTTTATCTTGTTGTGTAGGATTATATCAACATGATAATTCAGATAAGATTCTAATTCGCCGATAATTAGTGAACAGAAGTATATACAGTGTGTTGATGGAGTGTTGGGCATCATGCATTGTATATTTTTTCATATCCTGAAAACTCAAAATATATGTAAATTTTCTCCGAACAGGTCGATTTCAAATTTGAATTTACATTGAATTTACATACTCTCTCATTGTGGGGCAATGAAAATGCGAAAGTTGCAACTTTGTATCTCCTGTTCCTAAGAATCAAGGCGTTTGGAATAATATTATATATTTTCAACGTTTTTTACCTTTATTATATTGTTTTGATATTGATGTTATGATATTTGGACTTGATTCTGTGAGAAGGACTGTTATTTACATATATAGATCGAATATTTATTTGTTTGGAGTTTTCTTCAGAAAACAACTTTTCAAACATTTTTTTTTCTTGTCGAACTACTACAATATGCATGGATGTCTGAAATTGATTCCCAACAATTTTTGAGCTGTTTTCAACTTCGCTCCACTTTCTGGGAGAGTTCGACACTCAATAAAAAAAATACGATTTTATTTGTGAATTCTCATATGTCCATCTGATATCACTCACATACACAATTTTTCATGATATTTAAGCAAAACATGAGAGAAATATTTGTGAAGAACGCGTAAATTTGTCCGTAAATTCGTCCGAGCTGAACACTATAATTTATCAACGGCTGTAACAAATAACAGCGACATCTTTGATTTCTTCATCTTGTAGTCATTGCTGATATCAGATACGGAAATAAAATTGATGAAAAACAAAGTACCTCATTGATGTACCAAACACAATAAAACATGAGCAATTTTGTGTTATAGCCGTAGGAAAAAATATAGTAGTATCTCGGCGGGCTGAGTATAGTATTTGTAGGAAAAAAAAATCTTATGAAACATTTCTATATTTTCCAAACATTATTAATGAACATGCAATTAATATTTCGTACAAAGTTTTATTATTTGTATTCTCGAATAATACAGGAACGTAGTAGATCATGCTCTACTATATCACTGATATGTTTCGTTTAGAAAATATAACCTATAGCATGTTCTAATAATTATATTAATAACATTATTTCCAACAAATCACACATAACTTAACAAATCTATGTACAAATATTCTAAAAAGTAATTAGGCATAAATTATTTCTATATCACAATCAGTTTCTAGCATCTATCATCTAAATCATATCGTATCTAACTGACAATCTTCATAAGGAAAGAAATTGCTACTGCTACTATCTTTGTTTGAAAATGCAAAATTCACTCAGTATTGGAGTAGAAAGATTAATTGAACATATTCCATAGCTGTAGCTGAAATTAAGCCTCATAATCAAAAATCCTCGAATAATTTCAGTTCCGATTTTTCGAGAGTCCGCGATGTTTTCCAATCTGTCTCTGGATATTCATCAAAATTGCTCGAGTCACCATCGTACAATATTCTTGGTACGATTGGAGCCTGAAAAAATGAACAAATTAGTAATATTAGAATACAGGATGTCTGAAAATGAAGAGCAGAAATCGAAGAGCAAAAATGGATCAAAAGAAGTGGAGTGGTAGGAATGATCATTTGCAATCGAACTAACGGTATATGTGGTTATAAAATTGTTGATAATTCAAAAGTTATTAAATTTTTCTGAAAAAACGCGACCCATTTGTAAAAAATTAATAACAAAAAGGCTATTTTGAATAACCCCATATGTTATACCATTTCGGGATCTGTATTAAATGGGGAACTTTTTCTAATGATTGATTATCTTTGTGGGGTAGTTTTTAAATCTGCCAGCGCTATTTAAGAATCAACTGAAATATTTCATTCAATATCAAAACTTTTCATAGGTAATTGATAGGAAGTAACACAGGCCTTAAAATTATTTCTGGGATCCATGCGGATCGAATTCGTTAAAGAAAAGGGTCACAAATGTGTCAGTTTTATTGTAATTAATTTCTTTCGAAAAAATGAAACAAATTAATAACTTTTGAACCATCAAAAATTGGATATCAACATATTATTATACGGTTAGTTTCATCGTGAATGACCCCCCCCCCCCTACCACTTCACGTCTTTTGTTCCATGACTTATGAGTCACCCTGCTATTTTTACAAAAACCCAAGCAGACTAAACGAAGTTATTTGGTAATCATTTTTTGTTCTCCCACTTTCATTGTATGATAATGTCATAGAAGATTTGGTATAGGTCAGCTAAATTGTAGGACTATTCCGCAGTTTTTTTTATGAATTATTATGCTGTTGAAAATTCAATAATTGTCGAAATGACTTGCTTTTCAACGGATACCTAAATATAAGATGTTCATTAAGTACTTAAACAGTGAATTTGAACATCAAGAGTTCATAGAAATATTGTTTCACAATGATTTGGTACTTGACATACTAGAGTAACTAGAGCGTCCGAAATAGTTTCGCAACACTGTATGTCATCTTTGAATAGACCTATTCTCGATTCAGGTATACATACAAGAGATACTCTTATAGTATTTGTCGCTGAAAACAGCCGTTTTGAAGTGTTATATTATGGTCATAATATAATATACACGAGCACAAATGACATGGACAAGGGTTACACTTGATCACAACCCGGCTGCCATCAGCCGAATACTATATGAACCAGTATTTACACACGTCTGTCATAGGCTCTGATCTAAGCACATTCCACTGAGCAGTGGCGCATCCAGTTGCTAGATGCTAACACGGCCATCCTGAGATTGGGACGCTCTCGGCCCAACAAGCTCGGTTTCATCCTGACTAAATTTTATGTCATTTAGAGCTCGTCAGAGAGCACAATTGTTAACCCACCTTGCCATTAGGCCTAGGTGTCAACCCACTTTTACCAGGTCGAGATGTCGACCCACCTTGTCACCAGGCCTAGGTGTCAACTCACCTTGCCACTAGGCCTAAGTGTCAACCCACCTTTACCAGGTCGAGATGTCGACCCACCTTGTCACCAGGCCTAGGTGTCAACTCACCTTGCCACTAGGCCTAAGTGTCAACCCACTTTTACCAGGTCGAGATGTCGACCCACCTTGTCACCAGGCCTAGGTGTCAACTCACCTTGCCACTAGGTCTGAGTGTCAACCCACCTTGGAATACCTACATGGCTTGATAACTCTCTGCTATCTCGGAAATCTCTGTTATCGTTTCATTACCAGCACACAAAATACGACAAGCCCACTCAGTGCACCCCTCTATCGTCAAACCCAAGACACGTCGAACAAACCTCCACCAAAACTCGTTTGTCCATAGAATGCCGCAGCTGATGTCGCTGATGATGAAATTACCCCTCATCGGACTAACATGTTATAGTTGATTCTTGATATGTGATGACATCGGCGCTCTTCCGACTTTCGTCGCTCGACAGACTCCAAGTAGTAGCAGCTCATGATTTTCTTTTTTTGATATATCTATGATTTCAAATTTGTAAGCGACGTATTCGACAGCTCAAAGGTTTGTTAGTCAACCGTGTCTCCAAAAGAATAGTTATATGGCAGCTCAGAGGTTTGTTTATCAAACGTGTCTTCAAATATGTTAACGACATATTTGACAGCTCAAAGGTTTGTGAGTCAAACGTGTCTTCAATAAAAATTACAGTGATATGGCAGCTCAGAGGTTTGTTTATCAAACGTGTCTTCAAATATGGCAACGGCATATTTGACAGCTCAGAGGTTTGTAAGTCAAACGTGTCTCCAATAAAAATTACAGTGATATGGCAGCTCAGAGGTTTGTTTATCAAACGTGTCTTCAAATATGGCAACGTCTGTCATAGGCTCTGATCTAAGCACATTCCACTGAGCAGTGGCGCATCCAGTTGCTAGATGCTAACATGAAGAAAATAAACAGGCTTGAAGTTTCATCATTAGGAGTTTTGGAAAAATAAACGGATATCTGCAATCAGAGTAACATTTGGTTACTGGGGAAGACCACTGAGGGATGAAAGCCGTCAAAACCTCTTTCAATCGATGATTCACATGTAATGTTCAATCCATATTTTTCGTGAAACTTGAAGAGAATCCAATTTTTTGCGTTTTGAAATCAGCATATTCCATCGATATTTCAAAAAGCAGATATGAAGGTAGTGCCGTGACGTATTAGTCCCGAACTTTTGCTATCTCTCCCTGATACCTGACCATTCTTCAGTGTTGGTCGGCTCAAGGACAATAGGCGCGTCGGGACTAATACGTCACACCAATGAATTGACACCATTCCGAATGGCGCAGGAAGTGTGTGTTTTGAAATGAATATATTTCAATTCACTTTTTTTATCGCCCAAGTATGAATGAGAGAATTCAAAAGTATATTATTGGTAGTTTTTCGTTATAGAGCTCAAAATGATGTCGTTGTGAAAAATCAGTGGTCTCCCCAATTTGGTTACGCTAAATGGGGTCCGAAAATATGATAAGAATTACATTTTCTATAAAGAAGGCTGGAATTATTTTGGATGCCCTCTATCTCACGAACCAAGTCAAAGTCAATGATTCATCCTTTGAAGTTCATGTAATTACTATCAATAAAAATCTTTTACATTGATTTGATTTCAAACCAGTCTCATTCCCGATTAGTCAGCAAGGTGTTTCAGTAGGGTGTTTCAGAAATTGGTGCAATAACATAAAGTACCTAACCTTCCCTTGAAAAAAAATGTTCACGAAATTTCGTTAAACATTGATCAGAGGTGAAAAACAGAACCTGAGCGTTTGCTTTCGGAGATGTCAGAAGCAATGTTGCTGAACGTTCAATGATAGTCAAAAGATGTGGTATGATGATAGTGCACATTTAAAATTATTAAATTATCGCAAAATTGTTTTCTCATTTGTATCGTCCTCATGTCTAATACAACACTCCCTTCGATTTATTATTACTTCAATTTCGAAGGATTTTTCAGGTTTTTGTCCACGACAAGTTCAACTCAAATTATCAAGATATATAACTGAGCTTATCCTATTTCTCCACATCGAAATTCTGTTTTATTCAGACTGTTGATTGATAGTTTGAAAGTGTATAACGACATTTCTGATGACTTTGATCAATAAAAATGATAAAGCTAACCGTTTCTGTATGCTACGCCACTATTTCAGAATGTTGAAATTTTGATAGATAGAAGTACCTATTCTATGTCAAATTCTGCATTCTTTGATATTGTTTTGTTTTATCAACAGCCCAATCTTGATTTAATTTTGCGAACTATTTTTAGGTGGCGGTGACTACCATACAACTTTTTTTTTCTTGGGAAGAATCTCATAACAATCTTGATTGTAATCGGCTTTTGAAATCACGATTAATGGATTTTAAATATACCAAGCCACTTTTCATAACGATTATATCACTGAATTCCACAATTTTCCAAATCTCATCAGAGAACGAGAAATACAACTAACTATTAATTACTTACTTCGAGTTTTCGTAAATATACATCATGCCAGTCAATTCCCTTGAACCATCTGTGCCTTTTGATGTCATCTGCACCACTCTGAAAATCAAACTAACATGACCAATGATATTTGTTTTATTTTATATTTACGTTGAATAAGTTGTTCAATCTCAAAGGCTGGCAGTAGTTAAAGGTTAAATCCAGACAGATCTTATCAAATATCATTCTGGAACATTTTCGAATTTTTTGACAAGTTCTGAAATATTCTGGAATAACATACAACATTCTACAACACCGGCGAATATTATAGAACATGCCCATAAGACGTCCATTTAGTGAGTGTGCCGATATACGTATTAAAAATTCAATGTGCGAGAGGGTTCTCTGGAAATATCGGGTTATGGCGTTGGTGGAGGCACTGTTGCCATAAAAAGTGATATACGTAGGCCATATACATTGAGAACTTTCAAATTTTAAGTTGGATTAAAAACTGGAAAATTGGTATACTGGATTAAAAACTGGAAAATTGGTATACTGGAATAAAAACTGGAAAATTGGTATACTGGAATAAAAACTGGAAAATTGATATACTGTTGAAATGAGTCATTTACTTATTCCACTCTACCTGAGATATTTTTGGTCCACTGGCTATATACAAGGTGTGCCAAAAGTCGTCACCAGGTTTCTCATTACGAATGGAAACCCAGATTTGTTCCACTCGGTTCTATTGGGTATATAATTCTGTATTCATACAACCTAATCTATTTCAACTTATACACTGCTTTTCTATAATATCCCTTGCCCCTTTTATTTTTTCAACGGGTCAACTGACAGAATTGAAACTTGGGATAATGAAACTGATGCATGAATACTATATTTTGGAGTTAAATTGACAGATGAAAATTTCAAGATGGCTCGACTAGTTACCTAGTTACGTGAAGTGAGATGTTTCAAAACTTCCGCCAGAATTGAAAAGTGTCACATTACATCATGTCAAAATTAGAAAAATAATTTTATTCGTTTTGATTACCTTCATATTGCCCAATCTCTTAGTCCGGTCCTGCACGAGTAGTTTTTTGATGAGATCTTTGGCCACCGTGTCGAGATGTTTGGGCCATTCGATCTTTCCACTGAGTATTTTCTCGTAGATCCCGAAGGGATTGTCGTCGTAGAAGGGTGGGTAGCCAACAAGCATTTCGTATATGAGGACACCTGGAAATTTTAAAAAATTGTATATTCGAAGTTTAAGTTCAAAAAAAAATGTTTTTTTCTGTGACGAGAAAAAAGTTTGACATTTCATCTCTGTTGACAGGTTATCAATATTTATTTATTATACAAGGGAAAAATGTAGTAGATCTTAGCTCCAGGTTGTGTTGTCTCCCGACGCGTAGCGGGGAGACAAGCTAAAATCTAATATTTTTCCCGTGTATAATACCTTCACTATTTTTTTTGTGACAGAAGGAAGGAGGAATCAATATTGAGAAGATATCACATTATTTTGAAATCTGAAAATTATCGACGTGAAATTTTAAGTTTTTAACAGTAGGGACACCTGCGTTGTAGGCATCTTCATCATTCTTTTGAAGTAATCAAATATCTGATATCACTTCTGTCAGTCTAATTCTGTGATTTGATTTCAAAAAATTGCGAATTTACTGGTTGTTTAGTAATATACGTAACCGCGAAGTCGAATGGAAGATAAAAGGACTTGCAGTTCTTTCTCGGAGACGGTATTATTGACTCATTTTTCGGAACTATAGCACAACAAAAGCCATCAACAGTGTATATATATGTGATATATATCCGGGAAAAAAGTAATTCATGAAAAGTGACATTTTATAACCTGCCAACAGAGATGAAATGCCAAACTTTTTTCCCGTCACAGAAAAAAACGATTTTTTTATGAATTATTTGTTCTTCACGGGAAAAAAGTGAGTAGCAGTAAATTGGAAGTTTTATTCTGTGTCTTGATCATCCCGTATACGGGGTAATTCGAATTCGAGGGCCACCATTGGCACCTCGGAAACTATAGGTGATACGAAGATGGTTAATCATGGGCAAAGCGTATTCATGTGACTAAATATATGCCGCCGAGAAAACTTATAAATTCCGCGTATTTCCGGAGATATACGGGAAAAACATAAATTTTGTAAAATCATATTAACTTGTTTCTGGCGTTATTCGACCTAACCTGACCACATTTTCATTTTCAGATTTACCATCCGACGTTTCATCTTTACGCCACCATCATCATCAACCTAATTTTTCCTATGGGCGCCATATTGGATTTTCATTAATAATAATAACGCTATACTTTGCAACCTCACCAACTCGGATATTTGAAAAAAAAAATCGTTTTTTTAGTTGGCCTTGACTCAGTACCCAGGCAAATAACAGCATAATTGGAGAATGTCGGTCTCTAAGAAGAAGGGATGTGAGGACTGTGAACAATTTAGGACGGTGAACACGTCGTTGTATTCAGGAAGAAGGCAGAAGGCTTTTTCTTCTTCGCTTAAAAAAATAAACGTTTATTTTTACTCTGAAAGTATGACAGCAGACGTGAGAAATGCTTATGTTACAACAAATCGATTATCTTGGCAAGTGTTGACTGAGTCGAGGCCTACAACTCTTAAATATCCGAGGTTAATTGTGATATTGCGAAGTATAACGTGTTATACATCGTTGAAATCAGAAGAAAATAGTACAATATACATCAAGGGACAGAAATGCAAGATTTTTTCCAAGGTGCGATTTGTAGCTCTAGGGCGAAGCCCGTGAATTAAAAAGCACCGAGGGAAAAATAGAAAAATAGAAAATGGTTAACGGTTATGGAACAAAAAAATCGAGGGAAAACCCCAAGAAAATATTGATACTGCTTCTGCAGTGATTCTTAACTTGCTACCAGTGAGATCTAGAAATCTGTATGATGCAGCAGCTTATACTCGCTTCAGAGAAGGGTGTTCCGAAAAGAAAGCGCAGAGCTATGCGGAAAATGTGAAGTTGGTATAAACCCCGTAGAGAGAAATTATGTCACATTATCTCTCTAGGGAATAATAGGAGACTTCTGCACCTCTTTCGTTGATGTTTGATGATGGTGGCGTGAAGATGAAACGTCAGATGGTGAATCTGAAAATGTCATCGTACAGCAGGAAATAAGTGGCCATGTAAATGTGCTAACAATTTTGATATTATTCTACGAATAAAGCCAGAAAAAATGAAAATGATTCTACTAAATTTCTGTTATCCTGTATATCTCCGGAAAAACACGGATTTATAAATTTTTTCGACGTCATAGTTTTACACCTACCTAGTGCCCACCAATCGACGGCCTTGTTGTGTCCCTTGCTCTGTATGATCTCGGGCGCCAGATATTCCGGCGTCCCGCACAGCGTCCACGTCCTGTCCGTCAGCTTCTTCGCGAACCCGAAGTCGGTGATCTTCAGGTGGCCCTCCCTGTCCAGCAGAAGGTTTTCGGGCTTCAGGTCCCTGTACATTATGCATTCTGTTATCTTTACTACATCGGTATAACTAGAAGATAAGGTATCGATAGCACAGTTAATGGAATATTCGATAGTTTCGATCATAGACTCATTATCCCCACTAATAGGTCTATGGCTTCGATAGTCCAAAACATAGGCATCGATCGGGGGCGGAGGTACATTTTTCTAAGCTATGAGCTGAAATAAGCAAGCGAGAGAAAAATATATAATGTAATATAGTTGATGTGAACTGAACCAATAGATACATTATATCACACACAAGTGATACTATTTTGCCGGAAATATTCGGCGATTGTTACGACAGCTTGTTGCCCAATAATTTCGACGAATGACATTGTTTATCAAAAGTTTCGAGCCGTAGGCGAGATGTTTTGGAACAATGTCATGGGCGAAATTGAAGCAGCAAGCTGGAATAGAAAGCTGGAAGGAAAAATAGTATCACAAGGTGTATCAGTTAATGAGTGTTCCATGATTGAGACAATAAACGAGCGGCTTGCGAGAGTTGCGCAAACTGCATCCATCATTCTGGCTTCCAACATAATTGACGTTTTAAACGTCCAAAATTGTATCGCTGGAGAACGAGAGAGGTTGGTCACGTGTTGGTCAATTCAGCATCTGCATTGGTAGACCAAGCCCGATAAAATTTAATAAACAAAAAAATAGCGCTGTAATACAGAAGAAACCGCGAAAATGGCCGATTCTAATTGATTCTGGAGAACAAGAGTGGAATAGTCAAACAAATATCTCTTTGATCGATTATCTAGTTGTATTTTCGCGTAGAACATCGATCCGCTTATATAATCATATTATGAGCTGTCATATAACTTCTATTAATTGAATTATATGGGAACAAAATAATCCTTGTCTGTTGTTTTGAATCACTAATGAGCTAAATGCATATTGAGTTAAAAACTAACACAAAAAAATTGCAAGGACATATTTTGTCATGAATGTATCACACTGGGGTTTTGTTAAATTCCAGAATTCTTTGATGATTTTTTTTCTCCGTGTACCTGTAGACGATGCTCTTCGAGTGCAGGTATTCCAACGCGGAGACGATCTCGGCGCTGTAGAAGGTGCCGGTCGAGCTGGTGAATCTGCCTGCGTTGCGCAGGTAGGAAAATAGTTCGCCGCCGCACACATAGTCGAAGAGCATGAAGATGCAGGCCTCGTCTCTATCGCACCACAACCTGCAAAGTACCACACCGTCAGGGCAAAAACAATCACTCTAATAACGAAATAACATAAAATGGCGCCTGTGCCAATCACCATCCTGGGCATAATGATTGAAAATGGCACTTTCCCGTGCGCAAAATTTCGCGACTTGATAACGAGATGAGAGGTATGACAACCGAAACCAATTGAATGGTAGATCTCAAAACCCTACATTAAATCCTCGGCACAGCGATCCTTTTGCTGCCGTCATTCCGGGCATACTTTTGTCACGTGATAACGAGTTGTAACAAAATGCAAATGCTGTCCCCTTCGAAAGTCCTCAAATGTGCCGCGGTCCAAATTGTTCAAAGTTAGTGGCAGAGTCTCGCGATATTTCCGATAATATTTTGCTCCTGTCGGAAGATAATTTCCAATGGACTCAGCTCAAATCCACATATGAGTTCTACCCACCAACACGGAAATGCCATAAGATCGAAGTTCATTCATTTACGATTCAGGACCTGTCATATATTGGTATTTGTAGGAGTGGACGATGACAGATGCGCTGCGACCTGATTAGATCTATTGTGTCCCATCTTCTTCTGCTACCTCAAGGTCTTCTTGTTTATAGCAGCTCCTCAAGTTTCAATTATTTATGTTTGTGGTATTTCTTCCACGGTCAGGTGGTACCTATGCTCCCAGTATATTTGATCTTATGTGATGTATACAGCATAACACTCGCGACCAAGGCCAAGACCAAGACCAAGACTTGACTTTCCAGACCAAGACCAAGGCTCTCCCCCAAAAGTCTTGGTCTTCAAAAATAATGAACTCAAATCTACTCAATATTAAGGAAATTTGATCGAAAATGTAATGACATTTTTTTCAGTTATTTATTTGTCATATGGTAGGTTTTCAATTTTTGTTTACTCAAAATCTGAAATACATTTTTCAAATTCAGTATTGCGTTTTAAAGTTTACTACAAATAGGTGTATGTTGTATGGTCACAGTGGTCTATTGAAGATAGAAACAAATTTAATACAGAAGTTATTTGGTTTGAAATTTTTTGAAATATTTTGATAATGCGTTGTTGTCAGTTCCGACACTTTCGAACCTTTTTTCTGGGCTGTCGAGCGTCGGCCTGTTTGCTGTTTGGGTCTCATTTAATGATGATTGAGGTTTCTCATCGAAATGGATGTCTTCAAAGGTATGGTTACTCCTGACAAGATTATGTTGGACACAGTGAGATCGGCTTTTCTAGAGCCTGTGTGCATTGAAATCCACCAAGTAATTGGATCTCTATTCGAGAATTGTTGCCAAGTCCATATTTATGTTGTCAACATTTCTTCCTCGTTCGTTTCTGATTTGCCTGGCTGGTATTGGGGCCATGGAAGAGAAGGCGGTATGGGGGGTACTATCATCCGCGAAGCTGTGTACTGAACATGAAATTGCTTTCAAAAAATCGTTGATATGGAGTAGAAATAGTGTTGGTGCTAGAATTGATCCTTGCGAAACACCAGCATTTATGATAAGGGGATCAGATGAAACTCCGTCGACCACTACATGGAGAGACCTGTTTGAGAGAAAACTAGCTAGAAGAGATCATAGCTGGGTTGGCAAGCCATAAGATGGAAGCTTGACGAGGACTCCGTGGTGCCAAACCCGATCGAATGCCTTGGAGATATCAAGTGCCACGGCAAAGATTTCACCATATTTTTCAATAGATTGCTGCCATATATGTGAGACGTAAGAGAGCTGCTGTCCTCCACTGAGCCTATTGTTCTTCTACAATGTCCCGTTAGAAATCCTGTTATTGCTTTGAGACTAATTTTGCTGAGGTTGACCAGTGTGTTCTATCTTGCTCGAATGCTCGGTTGAAATTGCCGAGGAGATCTATGGCCTGCCGCAGTCTTGGAAGTCTTCGCCAGAGTGTTATTCTCATTGATCATTCAGATTGTAACAGTTTTTATTTGTCCACCCTGAAACTATCACTCGATGACGAAAAGATATTGATAGCGCGCTATGATCGAGGCCGGAGGCAGACAATTCGGCATTCCATGTTAGGATAGTGGTGAACGAGTTAGCGTTATTTTTACGTAATATTGTAATTGTTGGCAGTTTTCATTCACTTGATAGATAGGAGAATCAAGTGTTAGTTACCAGAGATTGTTGTTTGTGTTGTTGTGTTGTAAGGTGTCGGGAAGTTGAATTGGAAAAGAGGATTGTGTGGAATAAGGTTAGTACCTATAGTATATTATAATGTTAAGGGTTATTGTTCAATACAAACAACTAATTATCAACATAGTAATGATGATGCACTTATCTGAGAGGTGTTACCTTGATATGTTGCGAAGGGATAGCCCCTTTTATGTTAATAGTTTGTGGATTTCGCAGATTTGAGAGGTAATGCCTTGATCTGCGAATGAGAAAAACGTATGTTACTGTGCAGGGTTTGTTAGCATATTTGAGAGGTGTTTCCTTGATATGCGTGGGGTAGGATTGTACGACTATAGTGGGTCGAAAATATACTGAAGGCTGCATACGTCAATGTCAGAACAGGAACATAACTAGGTATTTGTACCTGTACGGTTGAATATGATTTATTATAATTATTATAAACCTTTTTGTACCCGTTATGAGACTGATGTTATATAACATAATCCATGAGAATGATTATTGTGGGTGCTATTAATATTTCATTCCCCTACGCTACATATCACGTTGTTTATTATGTAGATTCTCGGTTAGTTTTACCAGACTCGTGCAGTAGGAAATGATTTATTGAATTGAATTGATATCTGACTGCTGTTATTGTTATTCATCGATATTGTGAGGCCGCCCCTGGCCATAATCAATTCATTATTGTTCTTTCACTTCTTTGTAAAATAAATGTTTTTATGAAATTGAACTTGTATTTCATTTGAAAAAAAATCTAACTTCACATCTCAGAAGTGGGATCGGCTCATCCCAAGGGCAATATATCGATGAACAACATTAACAGGAAAACAAGAGCTTTATTTTTTTTAAGAAACTAGATTAGGATATTAACCATCTGAACTTTATATAAGGTTGAATAGGGAGAAATGGGAAAGCATCGCCCCTCCCATAAAGACCAGGGAAGGAGGTCACACGCAAGGTCGCGGAGCTCTTCCTCTGAGTCAGAGAGTTCCTCCTCTGAGACGAGTTCCTCATCCGGGAGTACAAGGCGGTCAAGACGACGAGGGAAGTCTAGAACTGGCCATGACAGCGGACGAAATCGAGAAAGTTCTATAGATAAATTAAGTACAGTTATGTCAAATTTTTTGAAAACTCTGCCAACGGCCACGACTAGTGACGCGACTAAAGGAAACGCCGTGCCCGAATTCTATCCAGAAGGCAGTCAATGCATCAACACGTGGATCGCGAAAGTCGATGAGTTGAAGGAAATATTTCGGTGGACAGATACTACAACCGCTTACCATGCGCTTGCTAAGCTCAGGGGATTTGCAGCAAGTTGGTATAATAGTTTGCCTAGTATACGCTTCACGTGGGAGGAATGGAAACTGAAGCTGATCTCGGCATTTCCACCAGATAAAGACTACCACAGCTTGCTGGAGAGTATGATGTCTAGAAAAAAATTGCCTACTGAAACTTATACCCGTTATTTTTTCGAAAAGACAGCCTTGCTCAACCGGTGTCAAATAACTGGAGAAAATGCTGTATCCTGTGTGATAGGTGGGTTAGCTGAGTCATCTATCAAAGCTTCAATAAGAGCAGGCAACTTCAAGGATCCAGATCAGCTTTACTGCTATTTGAGAACATTGAACACGGTACCCATGAATGATACAGGACTAGCAAAAAAGTCGACATATTCGAGGAAAAGGATGGGACAACATAACAGACGAATCGAGCAACAGAATAAGACTTGCTATACATGTGGAAAGGTAGGACACTTTGCTGCAATGTGTAATAAACGTCAGAAATTAACCGAACCCCCTCGATGTCAGTTCTGCAGTCGAGTGGGGCATACTGATGATAGATGCTTCCTCAAACAACGAAAGCCTGCTACGATTACTTCCAACGTCGTACGCCTACAGATGTCTGCCACGGGAGTAGACTCAAAGTATTATAAAGATATTTTCATTAATGGGAAAACCTCCAGGGGATTTGTCGACTTGGGGAGTTCCTGTAACCTCATTAGAGCCGACGAAGCGGAACGTCTCGAACTCATGGTTGACACTTCAAACAAAATTCAGCTCAAGGGATATGGCGGCGGAAGGACGGAAACCTTAGGCGCCACAAAATGTAGATTGAAAATAGATGAGTTGGAACTAGAAACAGAAATACATTCCGTACCTAACCAAAGTCAGGAAGTTCCTGTACTAATAGGACACCCATTCACCGAACAGGATGGGGTGCTAATGAATAAAAATGCACACTCTTTGCGATTCAGTAAAAGCACTGACCTAATGGGAGAGCTACCTCAAATAACTGAAACACCAACCATCCGCAAGATTGAACTATGGTTGGAAGAGGGAGTAACTGTGCCCCAACATCGGTTGGGAAATTTGAGGACGCACCTGAAGGAAGATGAATACGATGGAGATGTTTTTGTCGAAGCAAGTGTTCGAACAGAGGAAGGAAAAGAATACTGTATTCCGGGAACCGTTGCCAGAATAAATAAGGAAGGGAAGGTGATTTTGCCAGTTATAAACTTAGCAGACAATGAGATACAATTGAAAGCACCATGTCTTTTAGCGAGGGCTTGGCCATGTTTGAAAGGAAATAAGAAAGATCCAAGGCCTGTTATGCAAATTCAAGAAGGGATTATCCCTGTAACGGCACAGAATATTGAAGGACCTAAAATAGGACCGATTACAGCTGAACAAAAGTCCTCACTAGAAGCCATACTAAAGAAATATCAAGACTGTTTTGCGACGAATATTCAAGAGTTAGGTTGTGCAAAATCAGTTGAGATGAAGATTCGACTGAAGGATGACACCATCATTACCTACAGGCCATATAGGATGGCGGAAAAAGAGCGGGAAATTGTGA